TCGCCGCCGCGGTTACTCATTAACGTCGCCGTCCACCGCGAGACGCGCGGGAGATCGCCGATCAGAAACAAACAGATAGACAGATAGAAGAGGAGGCAGAGGCTGGCCCCAGGTGGGCACGCTGTCCCCCACTGGGGGCGGGGGGGCCTAGGGGAGGGGGAGGAGGTCACCACGACGGCGATCAATAGACCAGAAAAGCTCTCCACCCCCCCAACACCCCGTTCCTCTTCGAGACCAAAGTCATTTGCTCCCCAATTTGGGAGCGCGCAGCCGGGACGCGCGCCCTGGAAATCTCTGGGCCTTGGAGGAGATCTAACCCCCTCCTCCTCCCCCCTCCTCCATCACCAGGTCCACCAAGCCCTTCCCCACCCCTCTGATGTCTTCCACTTCGAATCGTCCCCCCTTCCCTCCTCCACCCCCCCACGGCTCGGGAGAGGACGTTGGAGGTGCCCCACGTGCCCTCCTCCAGATGGTCCCCCAAAGGTCCCCACCCCGGCCCTCTTCCTGGGACGTGTAGGGGGGGTGGGGTGGAGGGGGGGGAACTCCTCCCCGCCGGTCAAGAGGCCTGGAGGTGACAGGGACTTGGGGCCGGGCTGGCGGGCTCCGGGGTGAGAGGTGGGGGGTGGGGAGTCGGCCGCCAGGCAGGCTCCGGCTGGGTCTGCGCGCCACCGGCCCCGGGAGGGGAGGGGGGGACGAGGCCGAGGACGGAGGGCAGAGTCCCCAGAACTCCCCCCTCCTCCCTCCCCCTCTGTCTCCCCCCCCCCCAACACCTCCAAGGCCAGGGTGGAAGGATGGAGAGCTCCAGCCAGCCACCCAGGCCATCTCCTCCATCTCACCGAATTGATTCCAAGATAAACGGAACTTCAAAAGGCCCACTCCCTGACCTGGCCTGCGGGGGACCTGGGGGGAGGGTGCTGGCCTCTTCCCCCTCTCCCAGGCCTCCCCCCCAAACTCCGGGTGCTTTTGCCTTTGGAGGACCTGAGACCTGCCCCCCCCATCTTCTGCCTCTCCTGGTTTGACACGCCTCGGGGTGCGGGACAGCCGGCCGTGCGGTGCCCGCCGTGCCCGGGGAGCCTGCCTGGCTGGGGCGTCCTGGCCCAGCCCGGTCCAGATCCGCAGCCTGGACTATGCGCCCTGGGTATCTGGGGCCTGGGGAAGCCTTTGGGCTTGTCTGTTCGTCTCATCCCAGAATGGGGGGCTTCCTGACTGAGCCCCTCCTCTGCCAGATAGATTCCGGAGTGCCCACAGAGATTTTTGGACTTGGATTCCCCAAATCTATGTTTAAAGAAAAACAAAACCCCAAAACAAAAAGGAAAACGTTCCTAGCACACCACCTTTCCTTTTTCTTTTCGTAGTTCTTTTGGTTAAGTTTTTTTTTGGGGGGGTGAGTGGGGGAGGGGAAGGCTGACTGAAGCCAGGGGGCCAAGTTTCTCTGGCTATTAGAATCCAAGTATCTGCAATCAAATGTTCCTTACCACTTTAATCATGCTGCTTCCGTTTCCCAAGTCTTATTTTCAGATGCAAGCTGGTGAGTCCCTATAGAGTTAAGGGACTTTTTTTTTAAGCTTTGTAATTTCAGTGACATCTCATTTTGGCTGGTGGGGGGGGGGTAGTCATAATTATTTAAAGGTGAAGGAAAAGAGAATGGGGGGGGAAGACACCCCCCCAGCCTTCTTTCCCTTTCCACACTGAGGAAAAAGCTCAAGGAAAGTATTTCACACAAGGCCCAAAGACATTTCAATAAAAATTTATTGAAATTTCAGTGATGTTTTTAAAGACGGGGAGAGGGGGAGGGATACAGAAAACCAAAGAACTCTATAACACAAAATACACCTTCATGGATTTGTTTTTCCTTTTTTAACGTTCAGCACCTGACTTCTGGAGTTGTGAAATCTCCTTTCTCTCTCTCTCTCTCCTCTCGGCTAGGTACCAAAACTCAAAATGCCATCAAGATTAGCCACAGTAGTAAATTCCACTTTGAAGGAAGTCAGAGACTAGCAAACACAAATATGAAAGCAAAATTAATAAGTCAAGCCGCAGCCCCTGCACGACTCCCTACCCACACCCCTCAGCAATCCCCCAGACACACTGGGGATTTCGGGTTTTAAGAAATTGAAAACGAAATCCGGCAACTCCTGTTGGCTAAATAAAAGAGGTACTGGTTCTCCCCTCCTCTCCCAACTCTCGAATACCAGGGAGGAAAAAAAAAGAAAACCAACAAGGGAAAACAGAATTCTGTAGACAGCACTTGGGGAAAATGTTTTCTACTGTGAAACTGCACTCTGGGTGACCTAGAAATAAAACCAACTAAAAGAGAAGGATAAACACAGGACAGTTGCGATCTATTTACACAGAAACTATGTACAATGTCAATAAATTAAAAGTTTTAATTTTTCTTCCCGAGCATTCATAGTCTACCTATTTACAAGTTATCAAATAATTACATAAATACTTTGTCTAATAGTCTCGCTTCTTTTTTTATTTATTATTTCTTAAAACCTTGTTATTGCATATATGGGAAGGAGAGCGAATGAACTGCCACAGAGCTTAGCTAAAATAAATTCAGCTTTCTCCCCCCCCTTTCCAGCCCCCCCCCCTCTTCCCTGGGTTAAAATCCAGCTGTGAGTTAAGGGCTGGAGGAAGTCAGGGAGTGGGAGGGTGGAGGGGGGGTGGAGGGGGGTGATTTGCTTTGTCTAAAAGCAGGCGTCCAAAATGAAAACCACGAATATATATGACGGTGAAACATGCAAGGAGACCTAATATCAGCTCTTAAAACATCACAAGAATCGTATTTAAAATGACACAGATTTCCTTAATATCGGCTAAACAAGAATCACGAGGATTTGCCTTCCCAAGCAATGGCTGCCGGGGGAATTTATTGAGATCCGACATACAAGTCACTGTAAAAGTTTTCCAATCTCCACACACAGAAGCGTGTTAATTCATTTGTCCCCCTCCCTTCTCTCTCCTGTTTTTAAAAACACATATTTTTTATTCGTTTCCACTTGACACTGCGAAGGGAAAAAATATATATATTTATAGAAACCCACACAGAGAGAGATATATACATGCCTTTCAAGCCCTCTCTCTCCCGGTGGGCCCTGCTACCTTGGTTCTTCTTAACCTCAGCTTGCTGACCAGCCTCTGCGGGAGTTCCTTTACCTCCAGCCCCAATCAGCTCCAAACAACAGCCATCTCCGAATCCCAGATAGATAAAACCATGTCAAGGTGACTGGTTTCTGGGTACAACCTCTCCACGGGAGTCCAGGCTTCTCAGATACCACTGCAAAGGAAAGGGTCACCCCCAGACAGGCCAGGCCAGGCTGCTCCCCCCAGAGGGGGGGTGCTGTTATTTTTACATCCAACAAAGTGCACTGAAGACTTGACCAGAACTGGAATGAAGAGACTTTCCTGGGGTGGGGGGTGGCGGGAAGAGGTTAAGGGGATGCACTGCGGGACCGGTCCGGCTTAGCCTCTAAGCCGCTCACCAACCGCTGGATACTCTGTAGTTCGCTGGTGGCCGCCTCCTTCTCGGAGCAGAGTTTGGGTGACAAGGCCACCGAGCTGGAGGAGAGCGTGGAGGAGCGGCTGTTCAGTTCAGAGCCGGAGTCCACGGCCACCGAGGCCGGGCTGGTGGCCAGCGCGGTGGCTTTGGCATCCAGGGGTCCTGTGGCCGCGGCGGGCACCATGGAGGGCAGCGCGGTGGTCAGCAGGCTGCCGCTGTCCGGGACGGGCACGGGGATGGAGTAGGGGCTGTAGCGTAGACGCGGGCGCATGGTGTTCAGGTTGAGGAACGGGTGGCGGTGGACGGAGCTGGAGGCAGCAGCCGAGGAGGCTGCTGCGGCCGCAGCCATGTAGGTGTAAGGGTAGGGGAAGAGGCTTCCGAAAGGCGACATGGCCAGACCCTGGGAACGGAAGAGAGAAGCCATAGCGCGAGTGAGCACACATACAAGGGAGCAAACAAGCAGCCCCCCCCCACTCCAAGCTGGATGGAGGGGCCAAGCTTCAGGGTCTCTTCCCTTCCAGCTACCTGGGGGCAAGGCGCTGAGTGTGTGTGTGTGTGTGTGTGTGTAGTTTCAACTCAACTGTGTCACCCAGGGCCACAGCTCCCTAAATATGATAAACCAGAGAAACCACAAGCAATCCATATATACTGATTGGGGGCTGGGTCAATATTAAATGAGCTGATGCTTGTAATATAATTACCCCTTCTGCCAGGTTCTCAAAAGTGCCAGAAGTTTCCCCTACTGGCAGCTGCACCTGTTCAAGGGGGTCTCCCCCTTCCCCACCTCCACCCCAGACAGCCTAGGAGAACCACACAATATGCTCTGTCAAAACGGAAGTTTTGTGGGGAAGGGGGGGACAGGGAGGTGGGAAGGTAATTGGAGGGTAAGGGTAAAATAGCATTACCCTCCCAGGTGAGAAACTCAGGCAAGGCTTCAGTGGCCCAGAAGTGCCCACAGGGACTAAGTGGCAGAAACAGATCTCAGCCAGATCTGCCTCAGCCCTATGAGGTACCATGGCCACCGCCCCCCCCCCAGCCTGTACCACCTGCTGCTGCTGCTCCCCCCCACCCCACCCCAAAGCTGGGAAGGAGAGGTTAAACCAGAGCAGACACCAACGTTTCCCTCAGCCTTCCCCTTCCACCCCACCCCCAACAGAACTCAATCTGCCCTCTCGGCCCAAGAGTGGGGAGACGAATCTGCTCAGACAAAACAACAGGCCAGAAAACGAGACCCTTTCCGTGGAGTTCAGAGCCTCCCCCCCCCGCCCCCCAGCCATGGGCGTCCCACACAGCTGTCTGAGCCACACACAGGCCTGCTTTAGTCTCTCTGATATTCCCACGTGTGCCCTAGGCCATTAACCCTTTGTAAGCTGGGCGGGCAGCTTGAGGGTGGCGGTGGAGGGAGAGGGACTTGGAATTGAGAAGGAAAGACTGTAGAAGGGGGATCTTCCCCTTTGCAAGCCATTCCCCTCCCCCTCTCCTATTTCCCCAGACCTCAGTTTCCCTTTGGCTCCAATTCCTCCAGAGGGTGGAGAGAGCTCTGGCCAGGAGACACCGAGGAAAAAATGGCAGCTCCAAAGAAGTCAAAAGGGCCAGAAAGACACCCTCCCAACCCGGGGTATCAGAGCCCCAGCTCCATCACAAGCCAACCAACCGAACTGTGTGACCTCAGACAAGTTCACTCAGGAGACCCTGTCTCTGGGCCTCTTCCCCACCGGGCTGAACCACAGAGGTGTCAGCGTGCCCACCAGGAGAATGGGGTCCAGGGAGGGGGAACACAACCCAGCTGGCACTGCGGCTGCCCGGCGGGGGGCATGTCTAAAGGGGGGCTGGGGTTTGCAGGGGGAGGGAACGGAGGGGTGAAGAAGTCATGATACTTAATGAAGCCCTGGGCCGCATAGTAGCGGGTCTATAAACCTAATGACGTGTAATCACAGGACACGGGGAGGTGTGGAGGTGGACAGGGGTAGAGGAGGGCGGGCAGTACCTGCGAGGCCAAGACGTGCTGCTGCAGGTGGAAGGGCAGGGTGGCGGCCGACGCTCCCGACAGTCCCTGGGCGGCGGCGGCCGAGGCCATGGCGGTGGAATCCAGCCCGGACACCCCGGTGGACGCCCCGGACACGGTGGCCAGCAGGGGCCCCATGCCCGCCGCCGCCATGCTGGAGAAGGCGCTCCCCATGGCGAACTGGCCGGGGTGCAGGAAGAGGGGGTGCCCGTTGAAGAACTGCTGGCCGGCCAGGCCCGGGGCGAAGCCGAGGCCGGGCAGGGGCCCCTGGGCCAGGTGCGCCGTGGCGGCC